GAGGTATAGAAAAAACACTTACCTCAACAATAGCTGTTCTTTTATTGAATGCAACAGAAGCTCTCCGCACAAATTTATTGACGTCTCCATACAATTGCGAGTATAGATCGTTCGTATGGTAGTCTATCAGTCCCTCAATAACCCCCCAACATTCTAGGTATGCATCAGAACGCTTTTCTCTTTTATCGTCTGTTTCACCATCAAACGCATATGGAAACCCGCATGCACTTGGCAAGGGTTCAGGTACGGTGTTTCTTGAGTCACGGGTAGGGTGATGAAAGTATATGGCTTTGGATAACCGCTCACGTGCGCCCACTTCCGTGGCTACGTTCTTCTCCATTATCGATGCTTCCCGATAGCATTCAAAAGAGAGTATAGTATGTGAGTATATATGAGACGATATATATAACTACTCTTTTCCTTGAGTATAGTGTATACGGTGAATATGTGTGCTACTTAGTTTATCGAGACAGTGTCGTGCCGACCTTAGCTTGTTAGTGTAAGATATGAGCGCGACTTACCCTCGTTTGACATGGGCCAGTGATGGATATACTTGTCAGTTCACGGGGTATGGCGTATTCGTATTGCGATGTAAACGTACGTGTGATGAAAAGTTTGTATATGCTACCACCATTACGCATATGCTAAACAAATATTCATATCCAACAGCATATGCAGCAAGCAATATAGTACATAGTATCTATACATATATATTTATTTATAAAACATACACAGGTGTGTTATACCGTGTGTATCTTAATATTTTTAACACGTAACCAAAAATAAATACATACGTACGAACCTCTGGTGAAACTGAAAAGCACACATTCACATTGTTTTCTCCCATCCCATTGGATTGCTTGAAAAGCGCGCCTAAAGATCCGTAAGAGCACGGTGCACCTCTTACCCCTGTACATAAATACATTTTTTATAAAAAAAATATATATATGTGTACACGCACGATAAATACATAATCATTTTTGATTTTTAGCCTTCTGATGTTCAAAAGGCTATGACATAAGAGTCTATAAAAATTAATCAAATAAACTCTTTCTTTGGGTAAACATACCGCCAGTCCGGTGAAGACGTTAGCGGTGATCAGCTTGAGATAAAGATTTCGTACACTCAGTTGCCCGCAAGATGTTGCTTGATAGATTTGGGCGATTATCTGTGGGCGGGCGATCAGAGGGGCATAAGTATCATGCTATGCGTATGTTGAAGAGTATTATATATTGATTGGGTATGTATGGCATTTGATTTCTCGGGTATGTATGCATGTTGATTAAGATGATCGTTCTAGCGCCATTATCGTGGTCAGCTACTGTAGTGCTGTCAGATATTTCGGCTTATACAAAGATAAGGTTACTAGCTTTGCGTGCGTATGCTGTTCAAAGATGCAAAGTATTCCCTGCTGGATTTAGTACTAAGGATATGATCGTATTTAGCTCAGAACTTGAACGTAGATAGCCCTGTACTAACACATCCTATAATGAGATCCCTTGCAGCTACTAGCCGCCTGCTTATCTATGAATAATTGCGATATACGCACAGTATAAGATAAAATCAAGGCTAACACCGACGATGCTACGCTAATCAACCGGGTGGTAGTTAACAAAGAACTATTAAGTCATACTTCGATCTAGAAGTTGGCGTTCAAATTCTGTAAGTATGATTTTCCGAAACGTAGACATCGTACCCCTGTGAGTACGTGCGAGGAAATATAACGAAGGTTGTACATATACGTCAAGAGATGGCAGTTTGTGTGCGTGCGTGGTAGATAGAGATAAATGCAATAAAGTATTCTACGTTGAGATGGCCGAGAATTGTAATGACCTATATTCTCCCTTGTTCCTCTAAAAAAGTTTCTATTGTGGGTAAGCGCATGCATCCTTCAGTATCGTCTTGCCATTCCATATTAAGTTATCTAATTCTCTCAAATCTTTAGGGGTTAGGTGGCATATAGGGCCATAAGAGCCCGCACCAAGATAGATCACTTTTCTGGGTGCATCACGGCTAGATGAATCCCTAAACCCATAATTTATACGTGTCGATGATGTAAACCTAAAAGTCGGTGGCCGCATCAAGGATACGCCATTGAGTAAGTAACATGTCCACTTCGCCCCCTTTTCACGACGGAGTATACACATTCACATGTCGTACCGAAGAACCTTCCCGATTGACATCTTTCGTCATTCAGATCGGCAAATGTTGATAATGGATGAGCCATTTTGACTCGACTATAAAAAAAACCTACGATTCCCTCAGGATGCTCAATATTTGGCAGTGTACTATACCTTCCACATCCTACTAGTTATCGTATGGCCCTATACAAGCCTTATAAGGCACAATACACATCGCTAACCCTCGGATCAAAACATGCAAAAGCGATCAAATCACGGAGAGACACTACTTTTATTTATGTCAGCTATGGTTATATCCATAAATGCGCACTTTCTAAGTCTTCATTCGTCCTACATGAGCGCACCTTTTAACCGGTGAATTTCTATTTCATATCGACATCTTATTGATAGACACAGCCGATACGGTTCATTTTACTTTTAGGTGTACTTCCCGCCCTAGTCACAAAGTTTCCAAACCCGATACATATATACGTTAAAAAAAGCTCTTATTTTTTTCTTCTTCTTCTGTATGTAGTACTAAAGTGCAATTGTCGACTGCGAACAGTCTAATATACGTGATTGTACTCACGATAGAACTGTCCGTTTCTGTCTTTTGACTGTTCCTTTTATACTCGGAGTTTCTATTAGACTCAGTTACTGTTCCACTATGTCTAGTCCTTCAGACAAAGTCTGCACTGCATAGCCAACTAAGCCTACAGCCTTCATTCCAACGCCATCTATCTATCATTTCTCCGCCGCAACCACACACAAAGTGTCACTACGCACATGTGCAATCTCTCACGTTCAATACAATACACTACTCACATAATTGACAACGTAGCTATCATTTAGTCACATGAATACGCCCATCCCTTTAGCTAGTATCGCAAATGCTGCTATGTATTGCCACTTTCACTTCAAATGGTATAACTTGTGTCTACATTATAGAAATGGACAGTTTGAACCTAGAAATAGGGCTATGTACTGCAATACTCGAGGACTTGTGTTTACTCGTGTTATCCAAGATTCCAAGCCAAAGGTCCACTAAAGGAACCAAGAGGATGAAGGATCAGTGGGTCGGTGTGTTTTGTTTTGTTTTGTTTGTTTTGTTTTTATTATTTTTTAAAAACAAAACAACAAAACAAAAGATCTAATTGTTTTATTTTTTATTTTTAAAAAACAATTATGTATCATACATACAAAAGTATTTTTTTCCGTTCTTTTGTACGATCTACTCCTCGATCTCTTATTTTTAAAACATGACCCAATGACAGTGAAGTATCATTTGAGTGGAATGTGACATACATTCAGACAGTCGACAGAGACAGTTGTCACTTGTCAGGGACTCGGACATGAGACAACATTGCAACACAGCAACAGCGAGACAGACAGCCTGGTTGTCACAAGTGGTTGAAGAATGCAGATATTTAGTTATTTTAAATACATACATAGACAGTCTGAGACTCTGAGTCAGGCAGTCAGAACTAAGAACTATGTAGACTCACAGTCACAGGCCACAGCAGTCAACCTGAGCAGAGTGAGTACATATGGTGCCTGAGGTCTGACTGTCTGAGAGGGGAGAGCTCTGTTGCGAGTCGTGAAGTTGTGAACTCCAGAACTCGTCGTTTGTTTAATTATTTATATTTAGCGCAAGTTATATTCTTCGCCTTTAAAAATAGCTTCAACTCTTCCCTCTTCATGACCTTTTCGGGGTTTCAAATTGTACAAAAAAAAATGAACAAGAGTCAGACTCCGTCAGAGGCTACATATGTATTTAGGCCTTTTCAGTTTTTCTATAATATATAGTTTAATATTTACATGTCCCAGTCTGGCTTTAACTGGAAAAAAAAACGACATTCTTGGCAACACGTCGCGACGGTCGTTCCCTAGTTATTAGGAATAAGAAGTCACCAGGAAATGTGAATGGTTTGGAACCCAAAGAGCAAAAGGAATCTTTCAACGGAAGCAAAAAGCCAAACAGCCGACAGGCTTTGAAGCAGTCGACGGCCGCGAAGGAGTGGAGTATGTAGTAGAAGATTGAAGGAAGCGGAGTAAACAAAATATCTGAGAAAGGCCAATATAAAAGGGGGAGTATTAATCGTCTACTGAATCTAAACGAAATCTAAATAGAATATGATTTCCTCAATCTTGACTGTTTCCCTGGGCTTGTTTATGTTGTGCAGTAATTCGGCCGCAAAGAGTATTAGCTCGCCTGCAATAGACCAGATGATTCAATATACGCCCAGCCCAGATCAATCACCAATACTGCCACCACCAGATCTTGACTTCCGAGGTAATAATGCAGGCTATACAGTTGAATGCTCTACCGCCGACAATATAGCCATCGATACGCCCATAGTCAATTACGCCCTGTGTTTCTACGCAGTATGCGAGATAGTTTCTTGGACGAATGAAGAAAATAGTAAGGGGGTGGGTCGCTGTGGATGTGTAGCTTGGCACGGAAGTAATTACGTGGGCGTCGATTCCATTCTGAATGATACCTTGTCGAAAGAAACCCTCCAAGCATGTCCCGAAGGATCTAATAGTGCCGGGTGCAGTGAGCCGAACAGTGCCCCTATCTGCCAATATGTGAACAATCCAAAGAATATGTACGTTGACCTGCCAACTGGACCGGCAGAGCTTATCTCTGACTTTAGCCTGGCCTTTTCGGGCAACGAATCAGGGGACAGTATCTACGGATGGAAATTGAGCTCCACGGATCGTGAGAAAGGATTGTATGCTTCATGTATGACTGCACCGTGCTACAACGAATCGATAACACTTAGCGGCGTGAGATATCCCGTCACCTGTCTGTGCCCTATAGTTGAGCACGAGTTTACAGTAGGTCAGGATGGTATTGTTTGCCAGCAAGAGAATGGGCTGGTTTGGAATGCGTCGTATAACCTACGAACTATAATCGCTGACGCAGAATAAAAATGTGAATATGTTGTATATAAAATTACACCCAATGTGCTGATCTATAGCGAAGTGACATTCAGTTTCGTGCTCTATCAATATTATAGCCGATCAAACTTAAATAGACACTTCGTTAATAAGAAACCCCTCTTGGCCTCTTGTTGATTCATTGCACATTAATTTGTGGCAGAACTTGATTTCCTATCGTCGACGCCAAAACGATCTGTCTTCTGCCGCACAGATTTGAAATCGTTGACTCCGAGTATGTCGTACGATTCATGAATGCACTCTCTGTATGGTTCCAATGATATCGATCTGAAAGTAATATGTTATGCACTATTGTAAATTCTAAAACTTGATTGTCGTTATTTCAAAAGGAGTTTTGGTAAAATTATGACCGCTTGTGATGAACTGCATAGTCTGAAACGGTGTAGCCTGTCCTTGTTTATCTATATCTACGCATGTAAAACAAATATCAAAACCAGTCATAGTTATATTTATTTTCAAGAAGCATATGCTAATCCGTATGCAGATGCTGCGTGGGCGCAACACCCCCGTTATCGCTCTTATCGTCGATGTTTAGTAGAGTAAGGTCGATAAGATACTTCTTCTTCTTCACGTCATCATGTACTGTGCTGACCCACTCTTGCGTAAGTTCGGCCATTTTGTAAAACAACACGCCTGAGAGAAACGCCAGGTGCGAATACCGGAATACGAACTGTGCAGATACAGGACAAATAAATCGAAAGTATAAGGTAAGTAAGGGTGTCATCTTAATACAACTGCCTACCCACCAACAAATTGGAGGAAGCAAACTAGGCACATTATTATTGGATATTAAGTGTGCCAAGGAGGATGATGGTGAATGGCGCAGGCGTTTACACAAACCACTCGCGGATTCATACTATAAAATGTACTAAAAGCTGAACTCAAGCAGCACCAAGAACATGTACTTTTTGTTAATGACATCCTAAATCTAACAAGGTTAAGTGCCAATTCAAGATAGATCAAAAAGCGAAAACAAATCGATATCAATCCTAAAAAGAACGCTGATGTGCGGCCTATACAGATGGCAGGTGAATAAACTAAGCTCTTAATATAAAATGCAATGAACTTCCAGGCTCAACAATTCGCATTGCGGAATAGTTTCACAGGAATTACAGCAAGAACTAATACACATACACACAAGCACACATACGTTGATCAGATCCGGAGACGAGCAGAAGAAGGCGAAGACACCCTTGGAGGCAACATAGGGCACCAGTAAGCTCAGCAGCAACACTTCCACAACGGGCCTGGTGATGGTCTGGTGTAGGTGTGTTGTGTCGAGCTCGTCGTACGGCGTGGCTGCCAGAATGAGGAACGTGTCCTGCCAGCTGTTTACTGGGCCAAGCATCAGTAGCTTGTGCGCCACCTGAGACGAGAAACGTATGTGTAGATGATGAGTATATGGCGTGTAGGATTCGCGAAGTCTGCATTGGACTTGTATTGCGACTTCAGAATACGAAGGCACGGTATATCACTGCCATTCACCCAGTTGCCTCACATATATATATATACACATACATATACATACATACTCACTACCCGAGCCTACTCGCTTGTCTTCCAATAGAACCCAAATACTTCAGAGGGTACAATGTGAGGTGCCTCGTTCAGACTCATTTTACAGTAAGATTTAGACTGTACAGTGCTTATACTAAATCTCGGCCCAGATCTGATAGGGAGGGAGAGAAAATAGCCATTCCGTTGTCCGCCACAGTTTGATCAACACAACACGTATTGGAGACTCCTACAACCAAGTAAGCCTAACAGATGTATACACACCAGCCAGCATACCTTGGTCAACACTATACCCCCAGCCCAAGTCTGGAAGGGGTGGAAGATCACGGACTCATTATCCGCCACAGTCAGAGGAATGATGAACAGCAGCTCACTCACTAGCCCCGCCAGGAATGGGATTACAAGTACGTACCACACCACCAGGCCGAGTGCTTTGTTGATCTGCAGGAACAAAATAACAGGATTAAAACATGCGTCCCGGTAAGTCCCGGTACAACGAACACCGGCATAGAATCAATGGACTTGGGTATTGATGGAGACCTCCTCTAATACCGAAACCGCTACTTTCGGTTGACAACCCCTGCTGACATCAACTAAGAACGGAACAACTATCCACATACGACTATCGAGCTATCATCAGTCGAGATAGAAAGAGTATTGGTTTCATGAGGTTGCTGCTTATAGAGGAAGGAATGCGAAGCAGAAAAGACCTTCAGCGGAGATTAGATTCACCGCGCACTCCCGATATGCATGTACATCGTCGCCCGAGTGGTCAAGACTGTGCCAAGCACGGCCATGGTACATTTAACCAAGGCACCACGACCCCCAAACACGACTAACAAGGAAGGCGCATACAACCGATACAAAGAAACCAGCATCACTTGGGCACCAAGACCTCCAAACATGACTAACAAGGAAGACGCATACAACCGATACAAAGTAACCAGCATCACTTGGGCACATAGACATCCAAAAATGACTAACAAGGAAGGCGCATACAACCGATACAAAGTAACCAGCATCACTTGGGACCACGAATAAAGCACAGGGCTGGCTTACCCTATCTACAGAGGAAATAAGGTGCTGCTGACTGTCCTCGCTGGCCTCATTGCCCACAACCAGGTCAGCCACCCGGTTCGCAGCAGTGATGATACCCCGCACAGCCACGTGGGCTCCCCACAGCACATATATACCTACCGCTAGAGAGTACAGGTCGTGGATGGTTCGGCCGATGACCAGGGTGGTGACCAGGCGCCCCACACTCACTGTGTGGTAGTAGTATATGACATGTGAGTATGATGGTTTGGCTTTGGCTTGGTCTATAAATAAGTTCTAGGTGGATGCTAGGTGGCTACTTAATTATAAGTACGTTGATAGTAGGCGAATCTGCGGGCGTGACACAGGTGTAGTGATCGTTTGCAGACTATTCGATGGACAAAGCAGTGCCAAAACATGCCTTTTGAGTGTATGGCAATGCACAATGCACAAACTGTGTAATATAGTACATTTGGAGTTAGTCAGCGTGCAGCAAGGGATGTTTTGTCGCTGTACCGGGCACAGCGATATGTTGAATAGCACGAGTTAAACGGTAATTATTGACGCGGTACTTGTAGCCCAGTGGGAGAGTGCAATTATAAAGCGAGACGACAACCAGACGTGACTCGCAGTGAGACACAAACGGTGGATCATATTACGACACACTGGCAACGGATATACGAGCACGCAACGGATACGAAGTGTTTACGGAATGGGAAAGCCAATAAGAATAAGCAAATACCAACCATGAGTATAGCACATATGGATAGGTATATGTTGTATATAATACATAGATGTGTTGTAAATGTGTACACGCCGTATATACATGAATAGATCTGTTGTAAAAATATATATGTCGTGTATACGTAATCTATTGGTAGTATATGTGTATATGTCGTATATGTATAAATAGAACTGTTGTGAATGGTATATAGATCTACAGTAAATATCAAGGTAAACAGATCTGCCATATGCACATCCAATGAGCTGAGAATATTCACATAATGATTTCCATAGCTATACAGCATACATAAACGTACGCGCGAGTTGCGTACGTGCTGGTATATGTCACTCAGAGTTTGTGTGCTTCGGCTCCCAGCTGAATGACAGGTAGCTGTGTTTGTGGTGCTCATGACAAGCGATAGAGCGCTTCCGTTTCAAGCTGGCGTGCATACGTCAAGTATACGCGGGTAATCAATACAAAAGTACAACAGGGTTGTAAATAGCACACATGCCCTAAATATTAGGGGATGTAAGACTGAGACTATTGTCTGTATGGCTCCGCTATACATATATACCGACGCTGCGCCCAGATACAATGGAATCACACACCAACACGCCGTACAACGCCAACCCAGCACCGACGCGCAAGGATACATTCAGAATGACCTACCTGGTACAATGGCGAGTGTCAAGTCGATCGCAAACAACGACAAGAAGATCAGGGTCACAAAGCCCAGCATCTTCAGTCTGAAGTGTTCAATAGTTCTGCCCACATCCGCGGCATCCACCACCTCCGTCAAGGCCTGCGCAGGTGCTGCGTTGGGGTTATTCTCGGGTAGCACTACTCTGTCAACCGGTTGCGCCTCCCCCCTATCCTCCTGTCCCTCGAGCACAGGCCGTGCACCGTCACGTGTCTGTGGCGGAACCAGCTCACGTGGCTGTGGCTGTGCTCGTGCTTGCCCGTTGGTTGCTGCACTCCTACTGTTGTGTGCATGGGTATTCCTGGGCCCCGTTCCGTAGCCACCCGAGCTCCGCCTGGACAGCAGGCTATCCCCCGTCGCTTCCCGTGTCTGTATGGGCGTGCGCGTAACCACGTGGGTGTCTGGACGGATATACAGCGGTGGGTCTGCGTGGTTCCAACTGACCGTGCTCACTGTCCTGGTCAACACCAACCCATTCACATGCCTGGCCAGGTCCTTATCCTCAAACACTCGCTTGCTTGTTTGACTCGATGGCCCCTCTTCCTCTGTCGTGGTGTCCTCTGAGACGGGTGCGGGTGACCCACGCCTTTCTTGAGGATGTGACGGTGTATGCGCGCGCCTATATTTATAATTCTGCACAGACCGCTCGATGGCCTGCCTCCTGTACGCGGCTGTGTCTGACGCCGTCCCAATAATGGGCAGCAGGTTTTGGCGCGTCTCAGTATCGGTATCCGAGGACGAGCTCGTACTTGGTAAGGGGCTTTCCCAAGGGGACCCATTGCTATGACTGTCGACCTCTGGTGTCCTGTAATTGACTTCTTCCTTACCTTTCGTTCCACTACCCAGCACAAAGCCCCCACTGTAGCCTTCCGGCCGGTCTGGAAACCCCGTTCTATTTATAGCTTGATCATGCGGTCTATTTATAGAAGCGGATGTTGGGTCTTCAACTGTGGTCATGTGCAGGCTAGTTTGCGACGAACTTTCTACCTGTGCTCCCATGTCACTGTCACTGGAGACCCCAACAGAATTATTCTCCGCACTTCCTACGCTTCCTTCCGGGCTTTCCCGCCCCGAGTCCAAATTTTGAGGTGCAGGTTCATCTACACCCACAGCCAGATCACTATCGTCCGCGCTCTCGGTCTCCGGTACCACTTCAGGCTCTGCGGCACTGACCACCCGCACTCCTTCGCCTTCTTGGACAAGTAGATACTCCACTACACCCATTTTCTGGCCCATCCAAGTCAGCCACTTGCGTACCAAACTCTTCCCATCGTCGGCCGGATAAAGCTTCTCCACACTCCAGGGCAGCACCATATGGAACAGCACTAGGTCCACGGGGACGTCTGCCAGAGGCTCGTCCAAAAGAACATTCGCGGGATACACACCCAGGGAGCACGCCAGGGAGACGGGTACATACACCTGCATGGCGGAAACAGAGGGTTAGATCTTAGATCAATGGTGGAACGATATAGTTGAACTCAGAACGTCAGTCAGGCTGATCGCCGACTGGCTGTATTGAACTCTGTAGGAAGGCAACACCTGTACGACCCGTATCAGCCCGAAGACATACTCGTGTGGCGGATGCGCAACTACAGTGCTATGCACCGAAAGTAGACCGGCCAAAGAGTACCCGCACACATCGACATAAATTCACACTAGCAGAGCCACATACACACACGCATGAGGGAATGCACACGGAAGAGCTCTACAGACATGCGAAATGGCCTGCACTCGCAACAATTGGCACGCATGAGACCTGTCACCTCTCTCATCGGAGAGTGAAAGAACCACTCAGCCGTACACTACAGCCCATGCGACGATAGGGCGCGCGGGGGTGAACGAGCAGTAAGAAAACTGATGCACATACTGTATGTAGTATAGGATGCACATACATTACATATACATATACATAATAATATACATAGGCATATATATGGCGGAACCCCACGTGGTATACGACAGCAACGCATCGAACATCCGTCACATACCAACCAGAGGACTACCAGGCCGTACATGACCGCTGAAGTGACAATACGGCGCACATGGTGATGTACGGGCAGCTCAATCATCTCCTTGACAGGCTGAAAACCTGGATCATTGGGATTACGCAGGAACCACAGCACACCCGGGCGCACCTCATCTCTCACGACACCTGCACAGTTGAGGAGAACGGAGTGAGTGTACGAGAACGACACAGAAGAGTGTATAAGAGAGAGGACAACAGAAGTACAGGAGAAACAATATAAGGTGTTGTTGTATTGTGTTTAATTGACTGGCGAGTCTTCTGTGGATGGTGACATTAGGCGCTGGTAAGCTACTGCAGGAACTCTCGAAAGGCACATGGGGTGTTGAACACAGAATGACAACTATCGAAGGCAAGACTGCAGCTGCCGCATAGTTGGCCGGTGTATACCGAGGGAACTACCAAGCAATCAAAGAACAACTATAGAGTATGGCCATAAAAAAAGATATCGCACAAACCCCAGGCCAAACCTTCACACCCCTCAAACCCAGCGAAAGTGGGACATGCACAACACACGAGCAATCCCGTACAAGATGGCATTTACCACATAGCTTTGTCCTGTGTGGTCTTGACCGAAACGCTCACAGACGCACTGGTCGTCTACACTAGGGCATTCACATGATACAACTGATCCCCCTAATACCCCCTCATCTCACATACCCACAAACGCAGCAAAGTGCGACATGTACAACATGCCGGCTATCCAGTGCAAGAACGCAGCCGTCGCATGGTTGGCCTGGGCGTACTGCACGCGCGAGCTCAGCGTCGCCGACACCAGGGGCAGGGCACAGATGTCTAGCCACCAACCACACAGCAACGGGAACACACCCAGCTCCGTTAAGACCAGGCCACAGACCTTGACCAGGCTGACAAAGAACACGAATGTCTTGCGCAGAAACTTGGCGGCCGAGCGGTTGGTGGGGGAGGCGCCCGTGGGGAAGTCGCGCGATTCGGTCACGTGGAGGATTAGTGAGGCGAACGAGGCCAGGCCTATGTAGCCCACTAGACCGTAGAAGATTGGCAGATAGTCGTACAGTGTCGAGGCGCTGGTTAGACCGGGATGAGACCCGTCAGAAGACCCCGTTAGGACGAGATTTTCCAGGTACAGCGGGTTGATGTTCAGAAGAATTGCGTCCGTGGTGCCGTTCAGGGTGGAGGAGAAATTGCCGGCTATGTTGACAGTCAGGTTTTCTGAAAGATGTACCGCACTTTCCTTCGCCACGCTAGCCAGTGTATCGTGGACCACATCACTTAAGGTGGAGTTCACGCCCGAAAGTCCCGTTTCAAGGCCAAATAAGGACAGCCCTGCCATACCTACCACATCCCCGCTGCACTCCCTTAGGAACTGGCCCATGCGTACGAGGTAGAAGCCGAACACACACGGCAGATAGCCCAGCAGGCACACAAACGCCGACAGGAACAGCAGTACCCAGAACAGATTCTCGAGCAGGTTGGTCATAGGTCCGCTCAGCCCGATGAGCTCCTCAAAGCTCGCGTCTTCGTGAGGCCCGTCGAATAGCCCGGCCAAGCCGAACCCGCCCTCTCCCCCGTCTGGGTCATTACCGTTATCCACCCGGCCAAAGTCGAACCCGAGCGCATTGCCGTCGTGCTGCCCGTCTGCCTCCGCGTCACTCCCATCGCTCGGGGTGTCGTTGCTGATGTCCCCGTCGCTGAAGTTGGGTTGGTCGGTCCCACTCCCGGTCCTGTCCTCAGGTCTATAGGCGCCATTGTCATCCCATGCACCCCGGTCACCCGCAGATAGATCAGTGGCAGAGGCAGGCCTATATCTAACCCCCGCCGAAGTGCCGGGTAAGCCCTCAGCCCGCCTCATGTCGTCTTGTAAGGCGTACATCTGCATACGTATGGCGCTCAGTGTACTATCGCCATCGCCTGCAGCACTCGACCCAACCGACGCTTCTCCCTGCGATGCACTATCACCGCTGCTGTGAGACCGCATAACCGGAGGTATCCCATTCGTCCGCCCCATGATCCTGTCATGCGCCGCGGATCCTAGCAGAGGGCTCTCATGCGCACTCGTATGGCTATAGTCCTGTGACGACGAGAGTCGGTCCGTGCCACCTGCCATACCCTGGCCACGTTCCATACCCCGGAACCAGAATGGCTCGGCTCCGTTGCTACTGCTGATGCCATCCGGACCTGTGGAGGCCTGCTTCGCCGGTGGCACCACCCCATCTACCGCTTGCTTGCGGGTCGGGGACTGCACACCGTCGAGTGTCTTGCGTGCGTTTAACTTGCGTTCTTGGATGAGACTGGCGATGGCGGCGGTATACTCGCGCTCCTTCTCCTCGCTCCGCGCCACTTGGTTGAGTCCAGACAGGCGGCTCGCTGCTGCAGCACCCGGCCCAAACAGACCTCCGTTCTGGATGAAGTCTCCAGAAAGCTCGCTCGCATTCTCTGCCGGGGCGCTTGCGTCTGATCGCAGCCTTGAGGCCAGATCTGGCGCTGTATCCAGACCCGCATGCATACCATGCGTACCCTTGAAGTCTGTGGTGGGGCTATCTCCCCACACACTGACACCCAAAGTATCACTCCAGCTGCGGCCCAGAGTGTCGAAGCTGTCGCTGGCTTTTAAACTGGACTTATGTGGGCTAGCGGCCATGGTGGTATCCTGTACCTGATGTGTTGATTTCGTCTCGCTGTCGTGGTGCGGAAGGGATTGTGGACTGTGCAATGGGTCACGTGTATGGGCACTAGCGAGAGTGGCGTGTGAGTCGCTGGTTGTGTTGCTTGTGTCGGGTGTCGTGCTGTGGGTGGTGATTTGCAGTGGAGATGTAGTGGAGTGGGATGAATCGGGATCTCTCTCCAACCACGCCATGAACTTCCCAGAAACTTCCGTTGCAGGCCTCAAACTACCTGATATCCCATCTGTGTGTGTCTTACTTGTGGTTGTGGTTGTGGTTGTGGTAGTATTTGTATCTGTATCTGTACTCGTGCCCGAGCCTATACTGATTTTCGCCTGAGAGTCATCGCCGCCTGCCAACAAATCTGCCAAACTGCAATCCGAATATATCGATTCTTCAAAAGAGAATTGGGACACAGGCGCCTTTGGCGTCGATGTCTTACTAAAATTTTGCTGTTCATAGGGAAACTGGGACATCAACGGAGCCTTTGTCACCGGCGATTTCCGATATTCTTGTTCCTCAAAAGAAAATTGGGATATCAACGGAGCCTGTGGAATCGGTGACGCCCCACTTCGCGGACTGTTGTGTGTTTTGTCCTTTAAAACCTGGTTTATCTTCGCCAGTCTCTCCGCAGACCCCACCGACATCGGACTGCCCGGGAATCCCTCCGGTTTGAATGGGGAGGTTCTTCGCAACATTTCCGGTGTGAGTTCTTTCTTGTCCCCCCCATCCTTGGCTCGATCAGCAAAGGTCTGCTGCACCTTCTCAAACGTCGCCCGTTGCTCCGGGGTTAGCTTATCCAGACGGTTCACAAAGGCGGGCCTTTCCGAGTAATCCAAGCCCTTCGGCACGCCCCCCGAGCCACCCAGCGACAGGTCCATGTCACCGGCCATTTTGCCGCTCCTTAGACGCGGACTCATTCTGGCCCTTGTGGGGCGACCAGTGGTGATATTGTCGCTGCTACTAGGCTGTCTCATGCCGGTACTGGCGCGTCTACTGAGTGGGCGTTGTGTAGGGCCCGTAGAGTCTGCGAGAGGAGACGGAAGGGGCATTGGCAGTTCGAGGGTGGGATGAGAAAATCAAATTGATAGAAAGTGAGTAAGATAAGGGGAATATAGATTGCATGTTGCTCTCAAAAGAGAATGTCTGTACATCTGTGTGTCTATTATATAAGTATAAGTATAAGTATAAGTATAAGTATAAGTACAAGTACAAGTACAAGTACAAGTACAAGTACAAGTACAAGTACAAGTACAAGTACAAGTACAAGTACAAGTACAAGTACAAGTACAAGTACAAGTACAAGTACAAGTACAAGTACAAGTACAAGTACAAGTACAAGTACAAGTACAAGTACAAGTATAAGTAGGGGTCTTTAGGGTTTGACCTCTGCCAGAGTGTAACCGCGGAGAAACGCAGCCAAATGTAGAATCATTCCAATATAGCATGGACTATATACGTACTTGAGAAGTCTAATTTCAAACTGAACGGACCAAACGTTTGTTATTTCGGTTATCGCACCATGTAGACGACAATAGAGCCCAAATGAGAAAAATATATATACGTAAACATGTATCGGTAACTACATAGCTCAATATCGTACAAATTCTTAGAACACGTAGTTATATCCATGGCAGCAAGCCTAATTAAAATGCCAGCCCTATACATATCCCGATATAATACATACACCAAATCGTACAATGGACGAACAAATTCAATTCCTGTTCTTAGACATACCCCGTAAAGACGGTCTAGGTGCCCCAGGGGCTGATGCCCTAGCGGTCGGGCGTACGCGTTCGACTATCTCCCGCTCTTCACGTCGCCTGCGTTCGCGCTGACGACGTAAACGCCTTCGATTCTGTCGCACTTGGCGCCTTTGCCATTCTTGGAGCGCCTGTGATATGTAGGCAAGTTCAACCGAGTAAGAATAGTCGTGTATATGTGGAGAACTAAATGGAAACTGCACAGGACGATGTGTATGCGTGCAAAGCAAAACAGCTGCATCCGTGGTATTTAGATAGGTACATATACGAAGAACCCCTAATCAACAGGATCACTGCGTTCAATCTATGCAAGTGTACATGAACATTGCATCATGACAGGACCTTAACCATATATCCACAAATCCGAACATTGCCCGGACACATGCGAATGAGTAAAGGAGCATGCATACGGACCGCAACCATCGACACCCTAGAAACTGGCCTGAGATCTTGGTGATGTTGCGAATCTTACAATAAACAGCCCCAAAAAGTAAAGGCGGTGGGAACGTACAGACATACGGGGCAAGCACTTTTGCACACATACAACGCCACATACTAGGTCTTCCTCCTCGTCCGGAATGTTGGTGACGATGTAGTTATTCAGAGCAATCAGGCCCAAAAAGATAAACAGGACACTCGCTGCGATGATTAAGCCCTCCGCACACATAAGCGATAGGCTAAAGGAGTCCAACTGTACGTCTGTAAACGATCCTGAAGGAGAAAAGAATATGGCCCACATGCGTGTTACGGCAAACGGCATAACTATCAGCCAGCACAGAGCGACCAGGATCAAGCGAAATACCCTGTGGAATAAGAAAGGCAAGGCAGTGAATACGACAATAGCGGAATATGTCAGTATTCTGTAAGAGATAATATTCTCATATACATAATAATATCTACATGTGCATAAAAAATTTTCATATAAATATATACAAATACATACATACATACATGCACACACACACACACATATACATATACTTCTATATACATGTACAAATGTATATTTGCATAAACATAAACATATACATATACTTATATATACAAATACATGTACTTATATACACAAACATATATGTATATGAATATACATACATACATACATATACCTATATATATATATATATATACATACAAAAGCATTTATGTCTGTACATATGATTGTATATACGATATATGTATGTATGTATATGCACAAAACACCAATATATTTATTCCTCTCCTCTATACATACACACACACACACACATACATACATACATATAATCAATTACATTTATTTATATTTCGTCTAACTCGCACAAACAACGTACCTCAGAACCATGTTGCTTGCATGCTTGAGCAATGCCAAGAGCAATTCCGTGTGGGGCAGGGTTGTTGGTGTATTAGGGGCGTAGATAGGCCGGAACATAAACTTGTGATTACACAGTTCACACTCGGTTTTCTTGCTGGTGTTTAGCCATTGTACCAAACACTCTTGATGGATGTGCTTGATGGACCCCTATAGTGGCAACGATAGGTGTAAAAGCGTTAGACGATATGGGAGCATTGGTATTGATACGTGTACAGAATAGTCTTTGATGTAGGTACTAGATGGGGGCAATACGTTCACAACTGTACTTAACGATATTAAACGGGGTATGTGGTCGCATGATACGTAGAGTCAGCTCTTTACCAGTGCAATTGATATACTGAATTTATTCATACAAGTAGCTTAACAACAACAGGGCCTGTTGGCGAGGCGTGCATATGATGATAACTGTATGCCAACACACCAATCCCCAGTACAGAAACAGGCGGCAGACTACCTACCAAACAGTGGATTATTGAGATACATACGAATGGCTAGATACATATACATGGGTATATATTATACAGTCGTAGCCAAAAGGGACGGACACAAACATTGGTTGCAGTTACAAACTTAGCACAAGTAGCTTTAAGTGTCATTCCCCGTGCAATGATGTACACGGCTGAATACACTCTCATACGTGAGGCAAAAGACAGACCGTTACGCATACGCAAATACTTGTACTTTCAAAAGATGCCCGCCACCAAGCATGGGTGATCCATAGATACCGAAATGTAATTATGAGTCATAGGTACACTTGAAGGTTCATATTCAGGAATATCAGATGTAACTCACTATGACGAGACACATACACACACGTACACTGACACAAGTGCAAAGAATCATCAAGACCCTACCAACAGAAACAAGACATACAGGCTATACTAATTGATAAAGATATTGCGATAGTGGTGGCCAAAGACAAATTCTCGGAGTTCCTTCAGATGCGCTTGCACATTCCTCATTGTCTACGTAGCCAATATTTGAATGTCAATATAAAAGACTCTACGCGTGTGTGTATATTATACGCGTATGTACCACAAGCATGGGGTATAGATATCAATTGCACTAATGTTGGCGTGCGTCTGATGGTGGTGAGCGGGCATGTCTTTCGGTTCACCAGAATAGACCAGCACTCAAACAACAATAGTAAGTCACCGTACAATACATCAGTAAAGAACGTTACACACTGTGCGTTATGAGTGAATACAAAATCAAACGCAAAGTATCGAGCATGAAGATATGAACGATAATTGGGAAACATAGATGTGCATAGTCACATATAAGATGTTGGACATCTAAAAATTGGACAGTATAAATCATAAGTTCATGATCACGCAAAGACAACTTGAGTTACTACAATGACATGAAGGCTGTTGACGATTACAGTGTAGACTATGTATGCACACGATAGTAAACCGCACAGCACACGATAGTAAACCGCACACTATCGCATACGAAGACATGTGGTATAGTTGGGGAACATAAATGTGCGAGTCACGCACGAGGTGGTAGCACGTTCTACAACCAGAACAATTCAGGCAATCCGGACAAACACACACACACAAAGATTT